TGTAACCTTGAAAACCCCGTAACGGGTTAGGTAGAAGCCTGAGAAAGTTTTGAGTGATGTTTTTTTCCCCCCTGTCCAATAGGCCGAAGCTGCTGCTGTGAAGGATATGTTGGAAGCTGGTGTACTAGACACATACCTTGGAAAATCCTGGGGAATCAAGCTGGCTACGAATGCAGCAGTAACCGTCCTGCGGGTGGATCAGGTAGGCTTACGCGCGATGTGGGCGCTGAACCGAAACCTTTCGCTCCCTGTGCAGAACACTAATGCAGAATACGTGAATCTTCCGGGAGCGCAAGCCATAAAAATACGATAATTGGAAAAGTGGTTTGTTTATTTCTGAAAGACAGGAAGCGGTCATGATCTGGAATGTTGCCGCTTCCACGGGAGTGCTATTAGTGGTTTCAGATTTTTTTAAGATCTGACCGTTGATACTTGTGTCCAGAAAGTTATCCCAGTTTTTGTAGGCACAAGATTTAACACAAGAAACCTCCTCCTGTATATTGTTTTTACATCACAATCCAACTTTTAGGGAAAACAGGGGTGTTAATCCTAATGACGACAATCTGAAGTTTGTGTTTTGGGGCACCGTAGGAAAAAACGTGTTTGCATGTAAAATTTCTCTAGATTATTATGGCAAAACCAGCAGGCGGTCCAAAAGCCCCTAAGCAACAAGGACACTGGGATAAGGATGACTGGCAAGATGAGCCTGAAAAATAGTACGCAGTGATCAGTGTTTCTCGAGCGGAGAGGTATCCATGTGTGAGCACATGCACGAGCGCATGGCCGAGTGCGCGGCAGGCCGTACCTTTCCTCAGGGCATGTGACACCGCTGCCAGACCTGTGCTGTGGCCACGTTTCTGTTTGTGCCTTTAGGAACAAGTTTCACCCCTAAAACTAACCTTGCCTCGACGGGACGACAGGGCGCGGCTTTAGTGTTAACTCGTGGCTGTAGCAAGTGCAGAGACGGAGCCTTTAACGTGGTCGGACTGGGGGACTTTACGCTTTTAGGGTGTGGTGTTCAGACTCAGTAACTGGGAACAGTAGCTGTGAGAGTTCTGCTGCTTCGTGTAGGTGCTCCTGGTAAACTGGCCGCTCGTTATCGTTGGCCAATTTGGCACTCGCTTCCTGTACATTAACCAAAGTCTTGCATGCAGAATTGAGGTAAAAGCCCGATTTTTGTTTATCAGGGCTCAGCTTCTGCCATTTTCAAGGAAATAAAACCCAACTAATCTGTGACCATCTCGGCGAGATGGATAATACTACTCACGGGCTTAGAGGCGGGAAGCTGCACGAATTCAGTAAACGCTGGCGGTCAGCGTTGCGCAGCGGTGGCTGGGGTGGGCGCAACTAACCTGACCTCTTTCTCCTTCCCTCTTACCTTCAAGATCATTATGGCAAAACCAGCTGGTGGTCCTAAACCTCCATCAGGAAAGAAAGACTGGGATGAAGACCAAAATGATTGAAGAATTTAAACTGTACTGAAGTGACACGACAATGTGGGTTTTTTAATACTGTGGTGGGAGCTTGTCACAGTGTTTTGCTCTGTTGCCTTTAAGTTATGGACTGTGTCCGACGGAGTGCAGGCCTTTGAACACTTCAATAAACGTACTCCCTGTCCAAGTGCTAACTGTCCTTTTAGTTGGACTGGGCGTGGTGTGGGGGTTCCCCGCAGGCGAACATGTGGGGGGGGTGAAAGCGTGTGGGTGTGGAGGCTGCCCGGGTGCTGCTCCTTCAGCAGGGCCAAGGCAGAAAGGGAGCTGAAACAGCTCAGGGGTTGGGATGAAGACAGGGAGGTCACTTGCCAACCACTGCCGCTGGTGAAATGGACTTCAGTGGGCAGAGAACTCACTTATTAACAATTAAAAATAGAGTTGGAGGGTGAGAAATGAGCAAAAACTAAACCACGTTCCCGTGTACCTCCTTCCCAGCTCAGCTGTGCTCCTTCACCCCCTCCTCCACTTCTTTCCCCCCTCTCTGAGTGGGCAGGGGCTGGGGAGGGGCGGTTGGGGTCTGGCCACAGCAGCTCCTCTGCTGCTCCTTCTGCACACTTTTCCCCTCTTCTCCTCTCCCAGGGTCCTTTGTGAGCTGCTTCAGCACGGGGATCCTCCTGATAGTCCATCAGGAACTGCTCCTGTGGCCCTCTGGGCTGAGGTTTCTGTCAGGGAAGCCTGCTTCCTGCTGGGCTGCGCTCTACGGACTGGGCCTCCTTCACGGCACACATCCACCTGCTCTGGCCTGGGAGTGGTCTGGGCAGGGCCCTCTCCAGGAGCCACAGGGGGACAGCCTGCTCCAGCCTGGTCTCTCCAGAGGATCCCTGCTGGGGTGCCTGGAGCTCCTCCTCCTCTCACTTGGATGCTGGCAGCAGGGCTGCTCCTCACACCTTTCCCCTTGCTGCCGGTGTTTTGCCCTTATGGAGGCTTGCCCTGTGGGGCTCAGCTGTGCCCGGCAGTGGATCGGTTCGGAGCCAGCTGTGTCCAGTGCCTCTCCCTAGAGGCCACACCAGCAGCCCAACCCAGTCTGACACCCGCACCCAGTACGGTGGATGAGCGAGACTGACCAGCCTGCTGCAGGGACCTGGTAGCTTCAGGACAGCATCAGCTGGAGTTGCTGCAGCCCTTTGTGCTCTGAACTGCGCTCCTTACCCAGTATTTGAGCGTAAAACGTGTAGATCTGAAACAATTCCGCAGGGCGGGGGCCCACGCCACATCCATTTTCGTTACGTGCCTCTATTCCAAACAGCAGCCAACTGCACCTCATTCTAACGGCCTTAAACGCTGAGCGGGGCGAGTTCGCACCATGCGGGGTGCTGGAATCTCTCGGCTGAAGCCCCCTGGTTAAGATTCTTCTTGGAAAGTAAACAGCTTGTGCTTCTCGGAGCAGCTTGAAAGGAAAACTGCGCTCGCAATTCAAGCCCCTTCAATAATTAATCCTTTGATTACTCTTGCCAGTGCTCCTCTGTTTCGCAGCCAGAAGGGAGTGGAAGGCTAAATCAGGTCTGGAACTGTCTTATGACTAAATAAGGCTGCCGTAGGACAGCTCCGCTAACGCTGGCGTTAACAGTTGGGTGCTGGTGTGGCTGAAAAATACACTCAGCAAGTTTTCAGGAGGATTGGCATACTGATGTAGGGCAGCTGCACAAGTGCTGCTGCTGCCGGCTCCGAGGGTAGCAGCAACACGTAAGGCTGCCCGTTCTCCTCGTAAGGTGGCCGTAAGAATGCACTGGATGTAAGCAGCTGCTGCTCCAGCACGGAGGAGCCAAGGTTTTTATTCATGTGAAACCCAAGGTTTCAAGCCCTGGCCTGCAGAGAAGAGGACTTTAAAGTTACGAGTCACTGTGGGACCGGTTTCCTTACCCCGCTGCAGCGCAGAAAGGCTGCACTGAAGTGCCTGTACGGAAAGGGAGAGAGAGCCGAGCTCTTGGCCTTGCCCAAACACCAGCTTAAGGTTCCCACACAAAAGAATTCCTAGAGAGTTGGCAAACTGAAGGCTCCTCTACTGGCCACAAACCAAGAGTGGAAAGAGACACGATGCCGAATTTGCCTCAGCCTGAAGCCATGTAGGAAAAAAACGGCTTCTTAGTTCAGAACCCAGTTCCAAAATACCCACAGAACAGATGATCGCCGAAATAACTACAGATCAAAATTATAGCTGGTCCCTTTAAAGTGAAAGGGTTGCTGACTAAGACGTATAGCACCTGCAGGAAACTAAATGTAGCAGTTTCTTGTCTGTGCCAAAACACACGTTACTCAACAGAAGCTCAAAGCTGTAATTCTGAAAAACCCTTTATTTAAAAGTAGTGAAAGCACTGGGAAAATTATAAGTTACCCACTTATCAGTGTGTCTAAGAAGCATAAAGTATATTCCCGCAGTTTGTATACAGTGGCTCCAACCTGTCAGCAACATGATTTGCAAGTCTCTGCCTTCTGTCAGGCCACTGGAAGGCGGCTGCACGTCCAAGAGGCCTTCACAGCAGCCGCTCGTAGAACAGGAGATAGGCTTGGGCGCTCAGCACTCTGGCTGCAGACACAGCTTGCACGTGGGTATCGCTGATGTGGAACCACTGCCCTTTCGCCGGCTCCGTTTCTGAAGCTGCGAAAGGAAGAATTCAGGAGGAAAAGTTACTGCAAAGGCTTGAAGCAATCAATCCTCTTACTGTTCTCCAGTACGAAATAATGGGTAAAATACTCCTAATTATTTACCTTGAGGAGATTGTCCTCGAAGGACAAGATCAGAGAGATGGTTGTTCATACTCCTCATCTTAGCATAAGCAGTGTAGTGCCCAGACCTCATCGTTCCACTGTGTTCAACAACTCCATACAGAGCGTACGGTACTTTCGTCTTCCCTTCCGCCACGTTCTACGAAAGCAACGGTTCAGGTGCGTCAGTCAGGTACGGGGTTTTAAACGAGGCCAGAACGCGAGCTCTTGGCTTGGCTCGCCGGCGGAAGGGAAGCTGGTCACTACAGAAGCACGCAGGCGCTGCAGCCAACGACCGGCGGCGCACACCGACTCGAGCACAAGTTGCACTTGCAAGTTGCCCCGTCTTACCACACAAAACAACCGCGGCTTGGCAAGCGTTCCGCCCAGATTCTGCTAAGCAGCTTAGCTGCGACAGCACGTTAGAACACGGGAAAAGGAGAATCTGATGGCTTTCCCACTTACTTTACATTTAGCCGTACAGAAAGGAGCCAAGTCTATCACTTCTGGAAACTTGATATGCCTGTTAACCTTCCGTAGATTAAATCCGGCCTTAAACAGACAAAGTGGAGGAAAACCCCATAACGTTAAGCATGCGAAAACCAGGCTTCGTTACTGTTTCAGATTAAAGTTTCAACAATACAAAATTAGTTTTACATTACACAAAATTTGGAAAAAGCAATACTGGTGGGTTTTTTCCTCCGATGCCCAAGTTTTTCCACCATCACCTCCTTGCCCCCCCTGTGCTGCAGTGCAGCACGAGTTAAAAGGGCTCTTCAACTCACTCTTATGGTAACTTCCAGGCAGCAAAAGTGGAAGAAGAATCAGCTCTGATGTCCTTATCCAGCTCCGAGGACATCTCTCGATTCTCAGATACTGTGAGATGCCTGAGCACCTAATCTTACATTGTCAAAACTGATGTAACTCCTACTCCCACCTTATTCTAACAATCTTCCAGTATCAAACCAGAAAACCAAAAGAAGATGACACATATTATTTCCTTAATCATGTTACAGTCTCTTGGAATACGCTACACATTGCCATTTTCTCTGTAAAACTGTATTTTGTCTACTCAAGACTCCCTTATTTTTCAAGCATTTTGACCAAAATATTGAACAGCTTTAAATTTAGAAGAGCTTTCTCCCAGACCCATTCCTTTCCTCTTTCTTTTTTGAAAAGCTAAAGCCCTAAATTAAAATTTTTCCCACAACTTGGAAATAGGCTAAGCCACTTTACTTCGGTGTCTATAAATAAGGCTTAAGTTGCACTGCTTTCCATTCATCCTTCTTCCTGCTTTTCCCCAGTAAGGCTCGAAATCCTCTCATTTCCAGTTCTACTGACCTATTTGTTTCCTTCATTTAGTAAGGGATCCCACTCCGCCTGTACTGGAATGTAAGAGTCCATGAGCTGCTGTAGTGGCAGGGAACAATTCATGCTAAGATACTCCTTCATGCAGTAAGCAGTAACAGCAGTGAGGGAATATATTGCAAGTAAGCTGACAAAACAGCGTTTTCCAAGTAACTAATGGAATATTCTTTCAGGAAAATACAGCCCAACTCCTCAAAGACTACAAAAACCAACACTGTGGACCAATGCCTTCCAAAACTTGGGAAAAAGAAACAAACCAGAACAGGCTTATAGGAAATGAAAATAGTCTAACTTTAGTTCTAAGCTGAGCTAGTACTGTGTGCATGTACACGTACTAAACTGGTACCACACACCCACACCCATTTTTTGCAGTATCAACCTGCCACTTACCTGTTGGAACCTCTTTAAGTGAAGAGTTAAGATTGGAGGAGCAAGGGAGATTAGCATCTGCTTTTTGGCATTAGTATAAACATACTTCTCACCTGCAGAAAAGAAAAACCACCAACGATCAACATCAACACAAATGTGACAGCAAGAATGTCTTCGTATTTTCACTGTTTAGATTATTACAACGTCATCTACTAAAACTGAGGAATCGAACATTCCCCTTTTCAACATCCTATCGGGTTACCCACTCCTCTTTGCCCACTCTTCCCCTCCAGCCCTGCAGCATTCGCTACCCAACCCTGTGAGTCACCACTGCGCTCCACTAAGAGCTTATGTTACTGCGTGAAAGGGGCGCTCACAGCCCGCCCGCTGGATACTGCTCCAACTGACCCGACTTAAAGTTACACAAACACCACTTTGGGGACATTTCCCCCTCCCCGATCCACCCAAGCAGCAGATAAGGACATATTTAAAGTTTTCTTTTAAAGGGTAATTTGCCATACTTTTCATGTTCTTCTTTGGTCCGTAATGTCTTTGCGTACACACGTCACAGAGGAGTTTATTGGTCTCGACAAGCTTTTCATTACGCGTAAACTGATATAAACAGTGATAGATTGACCCTTCTTCTGGGTTCAGATCTTCCCTGTTTGCAAGGGTACAGAAAGCCGTTCCTGGATCTTCGGTCGAGACTTCACACATCTTGAGGGGAACAGGTGGAAGATCATCCAAGGTACTCCCATCAGATTCAGCACTGGCACCCAAGTGCAGTTTTGAGAAGTCAGTAGCAAGCTCTTCCTCATCTTCATTTTCATCATCCTCCTCTTTCAAAGAGAGGCTGTCAAGGCCATTGACAAAAGGAGAATCTAACCCTTCCACAGGGAGATCCACGCAAGACTCACTTTCTTCACACTCTGATTCCGGCTTTCCTGTATTTTCACGCGTGCTCTGAACCCCTGTGCCATTTCCCTGTACACTCAAGTCTTCCTGAGTTAGGCAGGGATCTTTGCAATCATTCGGTGACTCCTCTTCCTGCTTCACATTGGGAGTTTCGGGGTTAATTTCTGCCTCTGATTCTTGGTTATACTCGACATCTTTCTCTGACTGTTTGGTTGCACAGAGATCTGTCAAGTGAAGCACCTTCCCCTGAAGTTTTTGCTGGCGGCGCTGGCTCTGCAAATTGGAACACAAAACACACCAAGTTTAAACGATACTCAGCATTTCCTACCATTTCCTTAATCAAAATTTTCATAGCATGCCACAGGTGCAAAGCGTGGGGGGGTTTGAATAATCTATGATTGAATGATCAGAGGTGATAAATTTAACCCATACTGAATTTATCCTCACTCAGATACAGTTCCCACTGTTCCTCATTACCTGGTATCTTCAAGATACAACTACTGATTCCCTTCCTATCTTCCCGATCCTTTCTTAGGTCTGTATTCTACAGTTTTGTGAATATTATTGCAATCAATGACTGGAGAACAGCTGTTCAGTACGAATTAATGCTGCTTCAGACAGGCAACGTTAAGTTCCACACTCCTCTGGATACGAGCTTATTCCCAGCACAGCAACTCCTAATAGCAAAGACGCAGATACAATCGGACTTTCCAGCTGCGCATTTGAGCGAGGAGAAATACTAAGCCGTCTCCTTCTCCTCTATCTAAACTGAGGAAGCCAAAAGAATTTGTTTTACCAGAAGCTGCGCGCACTACATTAATAAAAGTGAAACAGTTATTGAAACCAACCTTGGCTTGTTTTTTGGCCTGTTTCTTTGCTTTTTTCTGAAGGTGCTTACTTGTACCAGGGGGCTCATCTCTCTGCTTAAGGTAACAGTCATTGTTTTTATCCTCTTCATCTTCAGATTCCTTTTCTTTACTTTTTTTAACGTTTCTCTCATTTGTAATTTTTACTTTCTATAGAAAAAACAAAAAAAGGCAACAAACCAACCACAGAGTTAGAGATGTTATTGTTCTGAACAACAGAACAGTACTCCAAAGAACAGTGACTATAACATACAGCTAACTCATTTATCACTAACCCCAGTGATCGCAGAAGAGGAGTCTCACTCCAGAGGGAATCCATATGAAACAATGACTTGCAAAAGAAAAGGGTATGAAAAAGTAAGGCTATCAAGGCCAAATTCTGAACCTGTAAAGGGGCATGTTACCCCTGGCTCCCACAGATGTAAGTCTCATTGAATGTACTGAGCAGTAATGTTTTACGCAAGCAAAGACATTTTCAGTTGAACTACCTGCCACTGGATATGTTTGCTTCTGCTAAAACGGAATTTGTTCATTGCAGAAGTGGAAAAAAAGAAAAGCATTTAAGCACCCATGACTGTCGTGCCATTTAGTTCCGTTTCACAACAGTGAAGACGAATTGAGAAACACTGTTCATTTGCAACTCAAGTCTTCCACAACAGTGAAACAACATCGGAACATCCTAGATTATTCCCCAAGCCAATCTCTACTTTAGAAACATTAACTGACAAAGCAGGAAGATCACCAACTGACTCTCAGTGATCTTCCAAAGACAATTTATGAGCCACAACCTACAGGAATGACTCTCATGAAAATCTTATTCCCTACCTTTCTGGGCAAATTTATAATTTTAACTTTCAAAAGACACATTTAGGAAGAAGCATAAGTTCATTCCATAAAAATTATATAATAAAGTTGTTTTCACATAAGCAGATTAAAACAAAGCCAAAAAGCAAGCGCGTCCAATTTCTCACCTGATCGTCTAGTACGGGAAGCGACAAATCAAGGAAAGACTCATGGACCAAGGATACCTTTAAATGAACATTTAAGAGTCCAATTTAATTTTCTTTGGAAGTGCCTGGTTGCTGTCAATAGGCTTATTTGTATGTAGCTTTGTTTGTATTCAATGTATGCTTTCACTTGTGCGTACAAACGTAAAACACAGCTAATCTACATTCAGAAACAGCTATCCACGACCGAAGTGTAGCAGTCACATTACCACAGAAATAGGCAAGAAATACTTTTATAACTTCTAAGTTTTATAAATTCTTTTAAAAATTTCAGTTCGGTTTCAGAAATACTTTTACAAGTTTCAGTTTTCTAGTGGCCTAGGATGTGAGAACCCAACTTAGGGCCTACGAGATTGATATCCGCAATCTGTCACGACATTCATCCAGCCCACTCGCCAATACCCTTAATCACTTCATTCTCAAGATGCATTATCCCAATAGTGCCTCCTGTTTAAATATTTTCCTGGCAATCCCACGTTCATTACAGCGTGGGAAGGGGATAGACCTAATCACCAGATGAAAAAGGACACCTGGCAGCATGCTACTGGAAGCAGAACAATTCAGAGACTCTACAATTTGTACCAGTGAAAGATGTTTACCAGGAATCTCAGAATGAATTCTTATGGCTGGCAGAGGCAGCTGGCTGTGGCTGATCTTTCTCTGGAAGTCTTCCAGAAAGACTTTGGAAAAGTCTTTGGAAAGACTTTGGAAAAAGTTCCAGCCTCTCTGAAAAGCATGCAGCTAGTCAACTCTTAGAAGCGTATTAACTGAAGCAAACCTCTCCAATTTCACTTATTTCTACATATAGTTACTTTGGGGTTCTCCCGCAGGTTACATAAAATTGCACTCTAGGCTACTCAAAGCAGGCAGTTTACTTACGGTTCTGCATTCCTCACACATAATCGTACTGGTTAATTCTCCGCCAAAGATTCGATCTACAAAACTTTTTATTCCCTTTTTCTTTTCATATTCTGAGAATTGACAAAGTATATAGTACAGTTAATAATATTCCATATAATATACTAGCAACAATTTAGTTATTGCATACCAGACAAAGAGAACACGGTATGCGAGATGTGTGACGCAATGTGTTGGCCTGCTCCAGTTTCCTCAGGAAGCAGAGCAAGATTCTTATATAAGATTCTTTTGTGTATCAAAGGACTGGGGGAGAAAACATATTTGAAGATGACAATTTGACTGAACGAACCCCCCTACCACTTTCTCAGCTCAAATGCATTTCCCTGTTTTCTCAGAAGTACTGAATCCCAGTAAGAGTTCCTTTTTTCTCTCAGGACTTAAAAAAAACCTGTCCAAACCTAAAAAACAAGCACCAACTTTTGCTTGTATAGGTGTTCTACAAACAAAACCAAATTCCTCAAGTTACATTTTCAGTATAGCACATAGCCTGAATTTAACTTGCTCTTTACCTTCTAACCTAAGTCACATGGAAAAGTTTAAACACTCTTCTGTTCACTGGTTTGGGGTTTTTTTTATACTACTGTTCAGTGACAGTGGACTTTAAGGACTGAATAAATCATTACATTCATGTGCCGGTATTTTAATTTCTTAGCTAACTCCTGAATGATTAAACACTACCCAAGCATATTTTGACGTACGTATATAGAATCAGCTCTCTCTCAGACTGTTAAGGAAACGCACCACATTCAGTAAGCCATGGGGGCAAGCAGACTCACACTGCTGAGCCCTGCATTCCAGATACACAAGTATTCAAGATAGGGCATAAAGCTGTACAATTAAACATGTATCTTTCAGCAGCCCTGAGGAGAAGGTCTTGGGGGTACTGGTGGACGAAAAGCTGAACATGAGCCGGCAGTGTGCGCTGGCAGCCCAGAAAGCCAACCGTATCCTGGGCTGTATCAGGAGAAGTGTGGCCAGCAGGGCGAGGGAGGGGATTCTGCCCCTGTACTCTGCTCTGGTGAGACCCCACCTGGAGTGCTGCGTCCAGCTGTGGAGCCCCCGACATCGGAGGGATATAGAATGGTTGGAGCAAGTCCAGAGGAGGCCATGAAGATGCCCAGGGGGCTGGAGCACCTCTGCTATGGGGACAGGCTGAGAGAGTTGGGCTTGTTCAGCCTGGAGAAGAGAAGGCTCCGGGGAGACCTTATTGCAGCCTTCCAGTACCTGAAGGGGCTACAAGGAAGCTGGGGGGGACTTTTTACAAGGGCCTGTAGTGACAGGACAAGGGGTAACGGGTTTAAATTGAAAGTGGGGAGGTTTAGATTGGATATCAGGAAGAAATTCCTCCCGGAGAGGGTGATGAGGCACTGGAACAGGTTGCTCAGAGAAGCTGTGGATGCCCCATCCCTGCAAGTGTTCAAGGCCAGGCTGGATGAGGCTTTGAGCAACCTGGTCTAGTGGAAGGTGTCCCTGCCCATGGCAGGGGGGTTGGAACGAGATGATCTTTAAGGTCCCTTTCAACCCAACCCATTCCATGATTCTATGATTCAGTTGATACTATTAGCGCTACTTTGCATACTTGAATGAAGGCTTTAAATTATCACAGCAACAGCAACATGTATTTTACCTTTAATTTTCTTTTTAAGTTCTTCTTCATTTTGTTTGTTGGAGTCAGACACTGCCTTCAGTATTCCCACACTTATTTGCTGGAATTTTCAAAACGAATACACACTGTAAAATTTTCTAACTTAATTCAGTTAACTAGTTCATTTTATAAAATGTTTCAGATGGAGGAAAGAGTTTAACCTTCACCAGTTAAGAGAATCAATACAAACAACACAAGTGCCTGTAGGGACACAAAAACAGTTCCTGCAAAAAAACAACCGAGAAACAAGCCTGTAACCATCATGTTGCCATTTGTCCATAAGGAAATCAGTTTAAGCGTGAAATACTTTGCCAAATTAAAACTGGAAAAACACACCAAACCAAACCAAAATGCCAAAATCACGGTGAACTTTCAGGCATTTCAGAAACTAAGACAAAAGGACACTGCTGCCCAGTCCTACAGCTCTGTTGCTAACCTGCTCCAAGTGTGTGCTACAGGCAGCACAAACCACTCTACAGAGGTTGACATATCTCAGAGAGAATATTCTTTCTCCCCTCAGCAGAGGGGAAAGTCTTGGTCTGGGTTATGAAAAGTCAGCCATGAAGTCAGCACTCACTTGGATTTCCTCTGCTCTCATTCCATCAAGTAAGTAACGAAGCAGCTCATGACTGTCTTGCTGCTGATAACCTTTAAATCGTATTGCTCTGTTAAATGAAACAAGAATTATGAAGTATAACTGAACCTGAGATAGACAAAGTAATAACAGTTCATGTCAGACACAAAACAACAGTCTCAAGCATGTATGTATATATATAAATAAAAGCAACAAGTGTCTATATATGGTATTTTCTAAAAACATGAAGCTAGCCAATCAGAATGTGTCACTGAGTATCTTTCATTTTACTTCTATTCATTTACATTTTGCTCTTTATTTTCTTCTTTCAAAACCTGTTAATTATTATACAAATTTTATACGCTGTGATGTCAGCTCAAGGACAAAAAAAGGTGAGAAAAACTGACCTTCTTTTTAAACAACTAACAAACTTTTTTATACTCACTATGACATGCAATTGGACAGATACTCACTTTTTACAAACCTGAGCAAAAAGTTCCTTAGGAGTGACTACCCCTTTTTTTGCCTCTTGAATTTCTGTCAGGAACTGATACATGGCTAATGTCAAAGGACCTGGCTGATCTAGTTTTATCAGCTGAGGTTCCTGTTTTAAACAAAAGCAACAAAGTTGTTTTGCCTTAATTTGGTGACAGATCCTTCTGGAGCAAGTTTTTCCTTAATATAAACACTTCAGTTCTTGAAAACATTATTATAAATTAGAATACACAAAATTCCAAAATGGCAGCGATAACCTGACAAAAACAATCAACACGTAGTTTATCATGAGATGATACCGAAACACTGGGCTAAGAATAGTTAATTATTTATTGCTTATAGTTGCAATTCTGGATTTCTGGTTTTTATTAGAAAAAAACCCCCGCAATTTCTTAATATGCACAACCCTCCTTTCCCATCCCAATCCCTAACTGTAACGACAGGTATGTTATTTAAGTTAGCACTGCAGACATCATCTGGTTTCCTATTTTGCATTTAAACAAATGACACCATAGCAAAAGTTACACATTTCTGTCCTTTAAATAACTCGATCATAATGTACTCCTCTGACGATACTTAAGAGTACTGAATCACTGCTCTTTACCTTTGAATGAAAGGCCGCTGCTGACATCAGAAGCAGCTTTACGGTATTCGATGGTGAAGCTCCCACCAACTTCACATCTTAATCTTGTTAGTACTTAGCTGAAACAGCTTTAAAATCCAGAGATTATTTTTGCTTGTTTTTTTAACAGACTGGCAGGTCAAAACACTATGGAGGTCAAAGCATATATACCATGAATAGCTCAGGTGACTCGATTTTAACTGTTGTGCCAGGCATTTTAGCTTCTTTAAGCAGCTCCCTCAGGACTGGAGTTTGTGACAAATTCTGTAGAACACAAAAGAAATACTGATAACTGGGGAAACAAGAGGAAGGGAAGAAGAGTTCCACTGGTCATGGGATTCGTATCAACCAGGTCAGCAGCAATGTATTTTTCCCAAACACAGAACTAGAGTGGTAACTACCACTCTGGAAATTCTAACAGTGTTTAACAGTTAAAGGTACGTCCCATACAGCTAATGGGACTTTCACGTGTCCTCTTTATACATTACTTTAGATTGCAGAAACCTTAAATGAACTACCCTCCTTCTACAGACTGATCTTTTGACAACCTATTTACTAGTGCCTGTTTCTAAAATCAAGAGGTAAGAGGTCAGTAAGGGCGATGAGCCAGACTTTTTTTTTTTTAAACTAAGCTAGGAAATTGGCATGCTTAATCTGTGTCAGCAAAAGATGCCATCCCTCAAAGACAGAGCAGTTTGCTGTATCTCAGAGCAAGTCCGAACCTGCAGCTCCATTTCTTCTTACTCCTCTGGGCCAACACACTATTTTTAGAATGAACCGATCACTCTTGGCAGATAAAAATCGCATTCTAATTGTGTCATTGTACAATACTGAGGGTGGGGCTGTTGGGGGTTGTTGGTGGTTTTTTGCTATTCAAAGTTTTTGAAAAAGCAGCAGTAATTAGCATACCTGCATCACTGCATTAAAGAAACATGTATTCCCCAAATTACTAAGTCCCTTCACAGTCACTTCCGAGTTAGTACTTGAATGAGAATTCTCTTCTTTAAGCGAGCCTTCTTTTTCTTGCTCATTTTTGCTGTCTTTTTCTACTTTTTTATTTTCAAATTCTTTGTTCTCTTGTTTTTTTCCTACTGAAATAATAACAAAAGACATACCATATGTTAACCCAGTAACAGGGAATGGGCTGGCCAAATGTTACTAGAGGCAGCAACAATCTACAGTGTTTAGAACTTAAAACATGTAATTATATAATTCATACCAGAATTGTATAAATGTAACACTACTGGTTTAGGTTCTTAAACTGCCTAGGTAACAGGAGTTAAAAAAGAAACAAAGCAAAAGATAACCAAACCAATCAGGAAATCCCTGAAATGCCATTTCAGATCACACATTTTAAACACGCCACTTGGCCCACAAGCCATTCACGCCAACAATCTCTGAAACTCTGCATGCGTTACCCGAAAATCCATTCCTGTTGCAAAACTACCTATTTTAGGGCTTTATACAACATCCAGTGAGATAGCATATCCCTACTGACATGGCACTATTGTCTGAAATGAAACGCACAGGCCTCCCACTGTCAAAGCATGCTCATGTTCATTTCATCAACCTAAACAGATGAAACAGGAAGGTTTATATTCTTCAAGGCACGTTAAAGATATTTTTGTGCATAGCTCAAAATGTCAATGACTTGCTTAATAAAACCATAAGGGGATTCCAGGTAATTTTCAGAACAACACCCACTTGGGTTCTGCCAGTTCGGCAGTCCACCGTTGGTAAGGTTTCTGATAAACAGGGCTGTGAGCCAAGACTAACTTCAAAATAAAGTAATGCCAGCTCAGAGAATGCAAGGAAACCAGACAATACAATCTTTGCACATGGACAAGAAACTAAGGGATGGACAACAACTGCACCCCGGTATTCATCCGGTTTTGCGTTCAAATCTGAGAAGAAAATTCTGGCAATGAATATGAAGTTCAAATACTGGACATAGAGAAGCTACGTCTCTGGGAAATACTGACCAGAACCACTCACAGATTCTGACCCCTGAGGGAAAAACGCAGCTGCTTCCTGAACAAATATTCAGAGAGCGCCACTTGGGCACTGCTGGATGGTTTTTGAGCCCAAGGGTCCTACGACTTCACCCAAATGTAGGACAGTGTTGGAATTTTTGATAGCCACAGCATTTATGTTGATATGAAAATTCTTTGAAGTTTTCTAGTGGAAACACTTTGTACAAAACCAGTTTTGCCGGGTTTTGTAGGCAGACTGCAGGCTGAACACACCACTTTAGAGCTCTGAATGCACTGCAGCCACCTATACTAAATGTACGTACCCAGCAGACAAATCCTCTTGCACATTCCTTCCATCAGGAAATGTGCTGCAACAGCTGGAGATTTAGTCATTCCAGCTGATACACTCACAAATACCTACAGAAACACTTTAAAAAAAAAATCAAATTATCCTTAAACGACAATTTTCCTTCGGATCAAAACATGAATAAACACAGCACGTCTGCATACTAAAAGTCAATTCCTTACTCACAGAACAACTGAACATCAAATTAAAAAAAGGGTCAGAGTAAAATTATATTTTTTTCCTTCTATTCCTGTATTTGTGGTCTGTAAAAGTTTAGGGAACACAGAACAAAATCTTGGTCCAATTAGATCGATAGGCTAGGATGTTACTTAGGTTATAAGAATTCTGACAAAGGAAAAGAAAGGAAGAAACTCTCTTTTTACTTAACCATAAGGTGCTTCGAAAGTTAAATCTAATTTAGTGTACATTCTTGATTTACAATACTGTCCCCTACATTAAAGGGACTTTCTTATTTGCTGTATCTGTGCTATAGACACTTACCTGTACGTGATGAGTCAGTACAAACTTGTTTTCTAACAAAATCCACAGTCTGACCCAATCGGGTTGAAGTATTATAAGGGACTTCATTATCACACATGTAGCACCTGTCTCGGCATGGCCCCCGCCCCCCCAAAAGAAAAACAATTAATCTTTTATATTCTTTTATTGTTTAAAAATCCTGAAGTATTTGTTTGATGCAATTCATTACATTAAGTTATAAAATGACAAGATTTATTTTAAGATTTCAAAGTCTTAGAGAGGAGTTAGATCTACTGCTGATCAAGAAAAAGTTTAAAAATGTTCTTTACTAAATTATTTCAGTGACTGGAGGTTGCAAGTTACAAATATAAATTAGACCCTTAAAAAATGTGCTTAGAAACCCAGTCTGTAAGAAAAATAAAAGCAGGGAAATTTTTGCCAAAAATCAAGAAACTAAGGTATTAGTTCCTAAAATCATTCCCTAAAGGAAATGACTGAGAAATGTTATGGCATGGAAAAATATTCTGAGTATTCTAGTGAAGTACTTTACTATATTTAAATTGGATAAAGAATAAACCAATGCCCTCCATTAGTCCTGCACGCTTTTATTTGCCCTTCCATTGCTGATACAAATCTATTTGCCTCTTTAAGAGCCAAGAGCTGCATGGTTAGGCCACTAATCTGTTTTAAACAAAACTCTGAGAAAAGCTGCAGTGACAAAGGCTCAAGGAGTAAAATTCTGCCAGACACATACAGCCAGCCAAAGGGGAGTTGTTTGTATTGATCTCGCAGTTCTGCCCAATCAGCTCTTTGAAGAGGTGACAAAAGGCGCTGAAGAGAATGCAAATACTTCCGCACTTTGAAACATACCAATTACAGTTCCTAGGCACAAATGCATTTAGCAGATTTCAGGATTACCACAAACCAAACTCTATTTGCTGATTTAAAGGAAGCTGAAGTCTGCAGCAAAGTGCTTTCCTAAATCTTTATCATCCCTGTGTGAATGTGAAATGCAATTTTCACATTTCTTCATGTCTCACTGAAAAAAAAAAGTCTCAGTCTTTGGATCCCTGAGTATGTGTTTATTGTCTGAGTAATTATAAAAATAGGCATTTCACTCCTGGAATAACAGATGATAGTTAGTTCCATGGGCAATTTTTAACATCATAACCTTTCATCCATTAAAAATGTTTATAGGAAGCCTGGAACGAAACAAGGCATTGGAAAGAAGTTTTTTTTCAACAATGGCTGCTTGACCAGTGAGGGAGAAACATGAAGTAGATCCAACTGCTAAGTCTTGCCACTGCTGCAAATACATAGAATAGCACTTCTTGTCACCCCAGAAGAGCAGAACTTAATGAATTACTAGAATTCTCCTCTTTCATGTCCAAAACATTTTAACTATTTACAGGTACTAATCAAGTCCAATTTCAACCATATATGCATGCACACTATAGAGGGATTTATTCATACTTTCATAGTGCTCATAAATTCTGATCAAAAAGGCTTTTGCTTTTACATACTAAGTCCACTGTGAAATACAGTTCTTGACTGCAGGTTTGATTTATAACAAAAATTTATACCCAATATATTAATCTCTGAATAATTTCTTGTGCAATTTTGTATAACCAAGACATTCTAGAAAGAAGCATAGTATCTTGCTTAGACGACCTCCTCTCATTCATAAGTACTTTGATTTAAAAGCTGCACAAGATAAGAACTGAAAAACTTAAGCCCTTTAAAATCATAATTTTAAAACATTTAGATTCACAAAAATACGTTCACCAGTTAATTAGCAATGCATCACTGAGGTCCATTTCCATTCTAGAGTTCAATAAAAATACTGATCATTGCATATAAGAGTGTTAAATATGTTCAAGAGATAATGTTACATGAAATTAACATAATGACAAATAGTAAGTTTTAAAAAAGGTTAAGAGTTTTCATTTTGCTTTGTAACGTAAGGCAGAGTATTCCTGTACGTCACAGCTCGGGGAATTAAGGTTGCCCCTTATATAGTAACGTGCTTTAAAGAATATTAAAAAATATTCCTTTCAGGAAAATTCCTTTTCAGAGAAGGAAATACTACCAGAGAGATGGAATTTGTATCAACTGATCCAGAAGCACCCTGTAATTCTACAGTTGCGCTCCTCAGCTATACATAGGGCATTAGCAGTTTGTATTTATTGGGAAAATAAAAGTAAGTTTGTCACTAACTGCATCAGAAAGCAGCTTCTCCCAAGGCTGAAAGTTAAGATTTAGAGCTACGTGACACACGTTTGTACGTCAGTATTCTGACCAAGCAAAAGCAGTAAAATATAAAGCCAACCTCATTTACTAGTTGGTCAACTTCAATTACGAAAATTTTCCAGCTACAAAGTTTAAAAGTAACATTTACTTAGCAAATCTCAGCGAAGACTGCTGGTAATTGTGTGTGCGTGGGAACGCTTTATAAATTTCTGGAGAGAAGTCCTAGAAATCAACAAGAAAAGAAACCACAAATTATACCCCAGCCTCTGTTGCCCTCTAGCTGCACAATGTGTCTGCTTCTTGACAAACTCACCACACACTCCAGTTGTCCAAACTGAGAACCAAACAATGGGGATCTGATCTCGGCGTTGTATAATGCTTTAAGGCATGCTGTTCTTGAGAGTTTCTGCCACAGCCCTGTAAGGTCGATAACCAGAAGTGTCACAAAATCCAGCTGACTATCAATGAAACAAAGTCAGAGTATCGACAAAGGATTAAAATGAAAAATGATTAATAGTGTTAAACTTATTAGGATACCAGGGTCTCTATTTCAAGACAATTATTTCTGGAGAGAGAGAAGTAACTTACTGGGTACAGAATAACTATAGAGCTGCTCGAGGACCAAACATCTAATTTACAAATTCCAGAACAAACCAGAACAAAGCCAAAAACCTCTTCAGCAGGCATAGTTTCATAGTTTCTAATTCTGTATTAGTTTAGTATATTAATGTTAGCACAAGATCTTATTGTAAAAAACACAAATTAGCAGCATTAACAGCAATTCTTATTTTCTTAGCAAAGTAATTTGGACTTTCTAGGAAAATTAAATACTCAGGATGGTGTTTTAGCCTTAGGTCTGGAAATGCCTTTCTGCCAAGCTTCTAAGTATTTCGTCTGCAATTCAGAGCAGACATTCTGTCACACTAAAGCATATAAGATCATTTATGTAGCACCACATTTAAAATAAGAGTGAATACAAGAGGTTAATTAGAAGCTCTCTTGTCCCGACTACATTACGAGGCACTTGAAGACATTAAGACAAATTCACAAGAAAATAAGAGATACCCTATGGCCACATTTTAGACATAACCATATCGAAGGGCTTTCGTCGGTCTCCTCCTTAGACTTCTCTTCTGTCTTATTGTCCACCTTGCAGTCCTGACAAACATGCCATTCCACATTCAGCAGTGCCTTTTTCAGATGACCCTGCTCCAATCCTTTACGAACATGCTTGCACACAGATTCTACAAAATAAAAAGCACAAGAAGGATGTAGGTATCATAACAAATGTGAATGTCTCTAAGCTTCTAAGACCCAGGCAGCAATCCAGAAGCTAGGATTGCCTTTCTAGAGTCAAAGAAACATTAACAATTTATCAGAAAGAAACCCTTTGTTATCCTAATTCACAATCTGGGGATATCGTTGCTGCATCCTAAACTACCGTATTACTAAAAAAAAAAAGTATCACTCAAATCTACATCTGGTCAGAGGAGTTGATGAAACCTTTGGATACAAACCCACCTACTGTGCCAGGCTGTGGGCTTGTATTAGTGTGGCCTTACGATTCCCACACCTCCCAGGGAGCAGCCACAGCCTACTGCCATGGTTCCCAGTCACCAACGCAGCACCTGACTGGCCTATAAAAGTGAAGATTACGGAGGTTACGCTTCCAGCTGAGCTGCCTCAGTGAAATTATGCAGCTTTACATTAAAAACCAAATGGCAGACATCCTACCCCAACCATTATCACTTTGGACTACAATACTACACCCTGTGTGGAGATGCACCTTCTGGGCCTGGTGCAAACCCCATCTATTTAACCGCATTCTGCTAAGAATGGTTACACTGAGAACAGTTGCTGAGTCACTGTCAGGAGGTTAATTATCTTATGTCTTTTCTTGTTTCATTGTTAAGGTTGTAGTTACGCTGTCACTTGAGTGACGAGAAGCTGCCTGGAAGCTTAAGTCATGCATAGAGAAACTGTGATTGGCAGACAATGCATCTGCAAACTGATTCAAGTTCTTCCAAATAAAAGGTGAGGAACATATTTTTCTTTTTTTCCACACTGTAGATTTCTAAGACCATTAGCTTCACCAGCCTACAATGCTTCATTATTTGCAGTTACAAATACCTAAATTTGCAAATACAGGGTCAGAGATCTGAAAGCATAAAAAGTTACCTCAAAAGTCAAAAAGCAGAGTAAACAAACCCATGCTAAAAGTTATGTACTTAATTCGTAAAAAAAAAAAAATTAAATCACATTTTTGTAAAACTATTATTGAGAAGAATTACACAGCTTTTTACATAATTCACCTGTCTTGAGTCCTTTGCTACAGAGGTTCTTTTATTGCTTAGATAGCATAACAGCTCTCAATCTGTCTTTGCTGAGGACCATATGCAAAGATTACAGCCTCAAGATAGCAAACTTTTCTTGCCATGAGGTGAAACAGGTGAAAAGTTCTGTTTCTTTCCAAGATTATAGGATTTTACCACAGTGCAAATGCTAGCCACTAAGAGCGAAATACACATTTGGATGCATCCATTAAGCCTTTTTAAAAAACACAAGCTTTATCTGCAACCTCAAAATTGTCTTTTTTAAACAAACCTTTTGTATATTGGCCACTACTATTGCAGCAGGATTATTCACAGTGATCATTCTAAGTTTACATTTGTGGCTTTACAGGACTTTGTTGGGGTAAGCCAGCCTATTTTTAGGCAAAGAGCGAGATGCCATCAGCATCTGTACTGTCACCGATTTATCTAGTGGAGAAAAAATGAGAAACAGTCACAGCAGACATCGATCTTGACTCCAGGGGAGAGAAGGGGTGGGGCGTGGTCGGGGAAGCTAAACACCCACAAGAGACAGAAGCTATCACAAGACCAGCAAAACCGGGAAACTAAAATAAACTTGAATTTAAAACAAACGGGCCATCACAGTGCTTTACAGCACAAGCGAAAACAAGACCTAAAATAAACAGGGTAAACAAGATAAATAAAATTACACAGGGGTGAGAACCAGTACAGCTAGAAGGATAACATGAACTATCTGGGATTAGGGACGATTAGAAACAGAAGGTGAGGAAGAGAGATTTTAACCAGAAAGCACCATGACTAGAGTGCTGAGGTGTCAAGGGCCAGTATTGTTAGTTGCTAGTGTAAAGACAAATGGTTTCACAGTAATATTTTAATCACAATCTTTATTTTTATGATTTATTTACTGCCCAGAGAAGTTGTGGATGTCCCATCTCTGGAAGTGTTCAAAGCCAGGCTGGATGAGGCTTTGAGCAACCTGTTGTAGTGGAGGGTGTCCCTGCCCATGGGAGGTTGGAACTGGATGCTCTCTACAGCTGCCTGAAAGGAGGTTGTAGGGAGGCGGGTGCTGGTCTCAGGACAAGAAGAACTGGCCTCAAGTTGCGTCAGGGGAGGTTTAGATTAGATATTAGGAAAAACTTCCTTACTGAAAGTGGTCAGGCACTGGAACAGGCTGCCCAGGGAAGTGGTGGAGTCACCATCCCTGGAGGTGTTCAAGGAGCACATAGACATGGCCCTTGTGGACATTGTCTAGTGGGTATGGTAGTGTTGGGTTGGTGGTTGGACTGATGACCCTATAGGTCTTTTCCAACCTCAGTGATTCTGTGATCTTTAAGGTCCCTTACAACCCAAACCATTCTGTGATTCTATGAGTCTATTTGCTGAAGCAAGAATCTTCTGCAACAAAATCTTCATTAGGAAAACGCTACTTAAACTTGTCATGAAAGCTTAGAAGCTGACCCTACCAACCCTTTATATTCTGAGGAATTTTATATGATTTGATATGATCTGTGTACCAGTGAAGAATGGCGTGTTTGAGTTTTTTGAAAATCAGAAAATAATCCTAGTTTTCAAGACAGGGTTGTTATTCTCTAGCATACTCAGAAAAGTAGCGACACTAATGTTTCTTGGTAGACTTCAATTTCAATGATACAAACCCACACTTTGTAAATGAGACTTCAAAACCAAAGACTAGCGTAAAGGCCTTCTAACACTGTATGAGTTTTCAAGCCCTCTTTAAGGTTAAAACAAACATTAGGACCACAGACTTCTTTGAGGAAAAATACCCAGCATATCCGGAGACTCATCCAATCGTGCAGTTTTGCCTTTGATGCGTTTCTTTCCCATATTTGTAGTCTGTAATTTTCCTTACATGAAACAGTGACCTAGCAAAGAAAACAGTAATTTAGAAGGTAAGTTTTGGTTTTACTTGTTCACTGCTAAACAATAAATTATTTCTATGGCCAAGATGTCCCTTGAGGTGAATTACCTTGGTTTAATTTGACATTTTCAAAAGAAAATAAATGAATTCTACTTCAACATGAAACAATTATAACTATTGTAGAGGCTAGATCACAGTATGAATTATAAAACCAAAATTATTTAAAACCTTAAATTAAAAGCATTGCAGAAAATAACAAGATGGGAAACGTAAGTACCAAAAATCCCGTAAACCTTTAGGACTTGTACTTTAACTAACAACACATGGATTTGGGAAAAAAGAATTGGGTTTGTCCCAATTCAATCTTGAAATTTTTTGCAATTACAATCTTTCAGTTTACTGTAAATTCCTTGTATCTTTGATGAAGTCTGACACACACACATACTCTAACATATCTGAAAACATACAGACAATGGGAGATCCCGTTTTTCAGTTTCTTCACTGGGGAAGATTTATCATTACGTTCCAAACATATCAAGCAAATAATTCAGATGGGTCTGTTATATGGTATGCCTGTAAACCCTTCTAGCCAAGAGTGATCCACCAAATCTAATGACCCTAAACCAAGAGCAACCAATGCCAAACAGTTGGCTGCTGCACATATGATAGGTCATTTTTAGCTTCTAGTCTATAGCCCCTGTACAGCCCTGTCCCTCGTGTCACAAAAGATCATTCAAAAAGATCAGTTAAACTTAAAAATCAACATACACCATACAAAGAAAACATGCAAACTAAAAGAGTTCAAAATCAAGCCTCTGCAGTCTCATGCAGTCTTTGCAGACTAGTCTAACGCTGCTGTCCACCCTCCACAAAGACACATCAGCACTAAACCTGATTTGTATCATCCATCCTTTCAAAACCATTTCTTAGCTCATACTCTGCTGCACACCAGCCACAGAGAACAGGTGCCAGCTTGGAGCTGTCACAGCTGAAAAATGAAGCCTGCCCAAGAGAGTATGAGAGAAACTGAGCTGGGAAGAGTTTAGGTATGACACCCACTGAGGACTTTTTGCACAAAAAAGCCTTTTCAAAGCATGCTTTTAGGACACGTTACCCAATTTTTAAATGATGGAATTTTTAAACTTCAAGAGTGGAACGACCAACTTTTGCAACTTAGCACTCAATTTGTTCAGAAGAAGAAACAAAAGTTGATCCAACAAACTCCGGCCACAGTCAGCAAAGAGTTACAACATTTGATCTTACGTGAACAGCTCTAAAGCATTAGAATCCTTCCTAAATTGACTTTACTCCTGCCAGGAAGACAGGACAGCATGAGCACATGTAGCTGTCAGTGTCACCCATGCTGCGTCTGGACAGACTTGTCCGACAGGCTCTTCACCAGCCCTTTCCACGGAACAGCCCACAGTAGGG